AGGGGGAATGTGAAGCGAGGGAGTTGCGATATGCAACCTTACCACTAGATGCCACTAAATCCTACACACTGGACCTTTAAACCACTATGAAGTTAATAGTCAACCAGTTGCATTCAACAAAACATTTTTCTCTGTAATATGTTCAGGGAGAGGGTATATGTTTTTCATAGTAACTCATTCTACCTCCTACAGAGAGAGGAAGCCAAAAAGACATACAAGTGAAAATATGCACTGCATTCTTCCGCCACTAGTCCATCAATATCTATATAGTTGCCTGCCTCGGTCAGATTCCTCTTGAGATCAATAAAACAGGGTGATAGAAACACTACCACTAATGTCCACAGGGGGCCGCAGAATCAACACAAAAATTAAATAATTCATCTTATAGGGGTCTTTAAGTACGTCTAATTGACTAGATTCATTGAGAGGTCAGTTAATGAGATAAAAAAAAATTAAAAAATGCAGCCAATGCTGGAAATATTGGTTGCCCCACGACACACTTTGACTCTTCCTTTTCCATCCCTGCTACACGGAATAAGCAAAATTTCACCTGGGAAATGTAGGCATAGACTTGGAAGTTCAAGTTTATCAGACAAGTTGAAGGTAAAAATAAAATCAGTTCATGTGAACAAAGACAGTGAACCGCTGCTGGTTGAATATGTACAGCTCTTTATTTTAATAAAACCATTGTTTATATACATTTCAAGTGAGATACAGCATGGTAACCCTCTGCTGTCTCCATCCATGTCCATCAGTCCTCTACAGTACACGGGTCTCTGGAGGAGAAACAAAAACAGACAATGCAAAACAAACAGAACCCAAGAAAATACAGACATCCAGCAAGTCAAACAGCATATTACACTTTTTATTTAAGTTTACTTTGAATTTTGTTTTCGCCCACTGTGGATCATACAGTGTGTGATAGAAGGGCAGTCAGCAGGTAGTGTTGGTAGAGCTGGGTCAATTCATACACAGGCCAGCCTTTAATGTAACAACTAGTAACTAGCAGATCTCATTACGGAAATACCACACATACACATGAAACACACACACACCAGCTTGTTTCATCAGCTGGTCACTACTTAAGCATCAAAAAAACAAAGGATGAAAAACCCGTTTAAACCTGCGAGTGATGACATAAAGTGATGAGAGGCACAAATCAAAGGCTTACATGAACGTGCAAAAAGCTTTTTATTGCAGTCCTGCGGTGTGTCGCCACACCGGGGGAGTGAGGGGGGGAGGAGTGCATCGAGAAGAGGGATCAGAAAGTCTGCTGCATGTTGCTGAACTGATGCACACGGATCGCGTCTGTCAGCAGCCGCGGGCCTGTCGACATGATGATTTACAGATGAAAGGTGCTTCCTGTTTGTGTGTTATACTTCAGCCGTGGTCCATTCTTCTTCAAGGCATTTCAAAAGTGTAATGTGGCCTCAGTGGGGACAAGAGATACTGAGACAAAATAGAGACATGACTGATATTAACAGGGCACAAAAGGAAGTGGGCTCATCAGAACTCGGATGAAGCAGCTTCACAACCAGCAACAGCACAGTTACTGCGTTCACACTGACAAATGCCGTTAGTTGGTTCTTCTGTTTCACGGGTGTTGACTGAGAAAATTCTTCACCAACATCAACAACCAATGAGATTTCTACATTTCTCAATTCTTATTTCATTTGATGAACAGATCTGTGCAAAAATGGCAAAAAAGACATTTAACAAACTGTTGCTCTCCAGTTGGGATCAATTAATTCACTTTAACTTTGCACAGTCTACGTCAACTCATGAAAACAATGCCGGTAACAAAATTTCATGCAAATACCGGCCCCGCCCACCACAGGTCAGGAGGGAGTGACACATTTACCACAGTGTGAATGTAGCGTTAGGGCCCTGACATGTCTGACAACCTCAGAGAACAGCAGCCACAAAGCCCGGAAGATCACATGGTTGCACCTGACGGTCCGACGGTGACCACTGAGACACACGTGACAGGAAATGACAAGAATCTAAAATCCAAACAAAACAAACAAGCTAATTGTTTTCATTCCACTGCGAATTGAAAGTTTTGCTTTGCTTGGATTGGTGTTAGCTCGGGTCTGTAGCTTGTGTTACAAGCAGACAAAAAGTGGTGAGAAACTGTACTAAAATGGTGAACAACCAGCTGGACAGATGTTGTTACAAAGTCAGACGGATCAGGCCCTGGACCTGTATTTGATAAGTAGTCTCGGGGATCCCTGTCTGATAAGATTTAGTTATTCCCTAACTGTCTGTACTGTAGAGTGGCAGATTAACAGTGAGGAGTGTCAAACCTACGAACAGAATAATCACTCTTACTTCTAGTGGATTAAATAATAGTCAAATTGAAATATCCCCTGACCCTAGGTTGAGAACCACTGGATTAGAACGCCTACACAATATACTTGCTTTTAACAACCCGCTATTTTCATGATCAGTTAATCTGCTGAGCGACTGCCCATCACAATGTCACTTTTTGTTTTGTTGGACCATCCGTTCAAAACCCATTCAACTTACTCTTATCACATCAGACAAAGAAAGCAGCAAATCCCCACAGCTAAGAAGCTGGAACAAGGGAATATAATGACATTATTTTCTTTCCTGTAATTGATGAATGGTTTCACCTCCATCAACTGCTATATTAACAGACCAAAACAGCAGCCCAACCTAAGCAGGGTATTGTCGTGTTTGCGTTCAAAATCAGAAGTTGTCGAGGGGATATCAGAGATGACTGAGCCTTAATCTGCCCTCTAGTGGACAAATAATGCTTCAGAGGCACGACCTCTTGTCTGTGTTTACGTGTTGTTGAAACCGAGTGCGTACGAGTTTGGGTGGAGAGAGGCTCAGCAACAACCCTTCATGTGACTGGAACAATGTCCTGTTAATGCTCCGTTGTCCTTTTGATAAATATTAAATAAATACACACCCACACACACACACACACACACCAAGACATCAGGAATCAAAACGCTAACAAGCTGAAATGTAGCTCAAACATCTTGGGTGCGGGGGAAAGTTTGTGTCGGATGCGGTATGTATGACCTCATTATTTACTCCAGTTTCATTGACATAAATATACTGTAAAATGCATTTTACAGGCAGCTTATGAACTCTTTTTAGAGGGTTAAAACACTTCATTAAACGTAACAACGTGGTGCTCTCAGAGACACCAAAGTTGTCTTCAGGTGTTTTACCTACAGCATACAGGTTATGTGCATTTTTGTGGACAAAAAAAAAAAAAACTCTCCAAGAGCTTCATGGAATGGTTCAGGAAACAAATGACAAGCACACAGGTCGAAGGACAAAATCTAACTCAGACAACGTGAAGGAATGAATGAAAGTTTTGAGTAAAAAGGTGCAGAGACAGAGATCCAGACACACAGAGACACTAGCTGAGGTCCCACTTAATGCATTTCAACACAGTCATTCACAGATCAGACTCTGGATCATTCTAGGACATTACGATTACTTTCCCTGACTGATATTCTTTAGAGATTGGGAGTCAAACATAGACTTTTTGTTATAAAAACTGCCAAATTTAAAGAAAAGACAAGTGGAACTGTAACTAGAAAGGCAGCAGAGAATTAAAAGTGGAGGATTTAAGTAGTAACTGGTATCTCTGTGGGTCCCTCTGGTCTGTGGAGACCTGAATCAGCCTGGTGGGTGGATGTGTGTGTGGGAGTGTGCGATACATTCTTCAGCCTCTGCCAACTACACTTTCCAGTCCACTGCTGGGCCTCTGAGCAGAGGAGGGGTGGCGGGAGATAAATAAGGCCTCATTTTCCTTTTCACACCCCTTCCTCATCACGGACAGACCCTAGAGGGTCCCGGTTCCAGTTTGAGCAGTGACGCGGCTCTGGAGAAGAGGTTTATCACAGCGGCTACAACCAGATATGTCCCGTTGACGTTGAACAAAGGTTTCTCAGGTCCCTCCGGCCCCTCCGGCCTGCTAAGAGTCCAGTTGGTCTGGTTGAGTCCGTTAGTGTGATGTTTTTTCCTCTGATCTCAGCTCAGCGCTTCAGCACCGGGCTGCCTCGCTCCGGATCTTTCTGTAACGCCTGCAGGACCTGAGCAGACGGAAGGAGGTACAGTTAAAAGAATAAAAATGAGAAACTACCAACCAAACACCCTCAAATGCAAAGCTCCGACATCCTACCTGCGCCCACTTCCTGTTGCGGCTGGTCATGTGAATGGCGGCGATGTGCTGGAAGAGCTGCTCGCCGGGGAAGAGGTCGGGCAGGCGGGTGAGGAACTGGGCCATGTGGATGAAGTCCATGCAGGTGAGGACGTCCTGGTAGAGGCGCAGCACGCCCAGCGCCGTGCGGAACAAGAACTCCTCGCCGTCTCTGCAGAACACGTCCCACACCCGACACGCCAGGTCCAACGGCAGCGACTTACTGTACAGAGTGAAGATCCTGGAGGGAGAGGAACAGCGCACTTAACCCAACACAGTGATTTCATTCCAACAGACATATAGAGACACATACACATATGGATTTCTGAGATACATTTGCAACTGCATATACACCACAGATTTTAGCTGGTTATTATTATTATTATTATTATTATTATTAACACCTCTATTAGATTCTGGCAGATAAAATGTTTGGGTCACTTGTGTCAGTGGAAACTAAAGAATGTAAGTCCAATACTCACTCTTAGTTAGCTCTGTTTTTGGTCAAATTGTAATGAAAAATAAGTGATAAGCTTGATAATGTAAAGCTAAAATCAAATCTTAATGAGCATTTGTAACAAAGAAATTCAAACTGGAGCGGTGACGATTATGTGATGAAAGTGAATATTGTACATCGATGACTGGCATCCTGTTCACTCATGTTCGACAGCTCGACACATTGGGTCAACACATTTGTTGTGTGGGTCGGTCTTGTTGCTAAAATCAGACTTGGTGAAGAACTATTCTCCCGTCATGATATGAAAGAAAAATGATAACCTATCACAAAAAGCCAAAAGAACCTCCATCTGACATCTACAGTTCAAATCACAGCATTTGTGCAGGTATTTGCCAAGTTGTCTATTTAATGGGACATCATATCGCAACATTAAAGTCATTTGTTGGAGCAATCCGTCATTGTTATTGTTTTGTAGTTGAACACTCTGTAAGAATTATACTGAAAGACAACGGCATTTATAAGCTGGGTGCGGTGTGAGTGATGTAAGTGAGAGTTGAAGTAAAAAATAGAGATGTAGAATGTTCCGCAGTGCGTGGGCAGACGCTACTGATACAGACCCCTGCTCACACTAACAGCCTGTGCTATTTTCTAAGAACTGACACTAACATGTGTGGGACTCAATGTGAGCAAAGTGTCATGTTTTGATTACGACATGTGACACGTTTTAACAGGATAGAGAACAAAGTGTACAGAGTGAGTACGCTACCCTTAGTATGACCCTACCGGCCGAGAACCAACCCCTGCAAAGTGACATAATGGCAAGTAGTTTAAAGTACCTTTTATGGTACTTAACATCATTACTTAACACTGTAGTTGAAAGCAAGTGCATTGTATTAACAGCATGGGGAAAATGCAATAAATGTTTTGGTTTTTAAACAGAAGAAATGAGTAGAAGACTCACCAGTCGATTAAATAAATATCGGGGGTCAAGCTGTTTTTCTTGAAATGTGCAAAAAGCTTTGGTAGATTTTCTTCAAAGAACACTTCAAATGCCGAAAAGTAAGTCAACATCTGCAGAGAGAGGAGAAGGTGGTCTTGAGTAACATACACACAGTAACAGTAATAAGTAGGGCAGTGAGTCATATGTAGAAATGGACTAGTGATTTCTGTGGTGTGCTATCAAAAACACAGCACCGCTGTACCCACCACAGCACTTTATGGTGTCAAACTCACAACAACAACCCAGCTCAAGAAGATGAGCCAGAAAATGTCATGCTAAAATCAACTCATTTTTTTTGCATGTTTATGAACATATGTAACAAAGACATTCATATCAGAGCTGCAACCAGAACAACTAATGGAGAAAATTACTGACAAACAGATCGATAATGAAAATAATTAGTTGCACCCTATTAAACATACTTATTATAATATTTATCATTATAAGATATAAATGTACTGTCAACGTCCTCTACCCCTTTTTAAAATGTATATTAATATTAGAATATTTTCCATGGGTACTACTTTGATTTGTGCCGTTATATTCCTGGTGTGACCACTTCACTGTGACATCCACAGGATTAGGGCTGCAGATCAACTATTATTTTCATCATCCATTACACAAAATATTGGTCCATAAAATGTGTGCCAAAGCCCAAGGTGACATCCTCAAATATCTCCTTTAGTCCACAACCTAACTATATGTAGTTTACCGTCATAGAGAACTAAAGAAACCAGAAAATATTCACATGTGAGAAGCTGAAATCAGAGAGTTTGTGTGCGCGCAATTGTGTGTGCGTGTACTGACAAGGCTGTGGTCGACTCTGAAGAAGGCCATCTGACAGGGCTTGTTGAGCAGGTTGGCAAAAGCTATAAAGGCATCAGCTGTGTCCAGGTTCAGGATCAGCACTGCTGCGATGAACGACATCCCCTGCACCTAAACACACACACACAAACTGTTCACAAACTGTTCACAAACGGGTCTTCAAAAAAAAAAAAAGAAAAGTGTTAATAGGAAATGTATAGTTTGACTTCCGTCTCTGAAAGCAAGGCAGCAAGTTAACACCTGCTAAAGGTGAATTTTGCAACACATATCACTGTTGCACATTTAAAGCACTTGATATTTAAATAGTTTTTTTATTTAAAACTTTAATTTGCAATGAAATGCTTCAGCGAAATATTAAAACTGGAAGGAGAGATGAAATGCTGACACACAGATGCAAAGAGCAACATAAATAAAACCCTGCACACAGAGGTGAATGCATCCTCTGGGTGTGTGTGTGAGTGTGTAGCAGCTCATGGGTTGGGGTCAGTGCAGGAAGTCAGAGTCATTTCACCAAGTATAGACAGCGTGGGGGTTAACCACAGCATTTACAAGCACAATGTGGCTCTGAAGAGTAAGAGCAGTGTGCACATCAGTTCCATGCAAGAGCCCAAACATCATCACAGAACAGCCATCTCACTAGAACTTTCACACGGGTCCAAAGCGCTGATTATTTCTGACAATCAAGTTTATGCTTCGATCTCCAGGGTTAGATTTTAAAATTCATCATGTGTCAGGAGAGGTTTTTAAAGATAACATACAAAGGATCAAGAGCAGGGTCAGAACTTAAGTGAGTGTGTGAACAGAAAAGTGATTAGTCATGTGATTAGTAACTCATGAGGAGGATGGAAGGAAAAGGTAAGGAGGTTTGCTAAGTGGAAAAATCACACCTACGCACTGCAGGAATGCCTTGCCCAAACCACCTGGCACTGTACTGTACGGGGCAGGTTAGTGGTGATCGTATGATTGGATGACTGTGGAGGGTAGTGTGTGCTACAGCAGTGACAAAGTGAAATTCAGAGAAGGCCGCAATGCTGAAATCAAATCTGCATGTTGCATATATTGGGGGGAGGTGAGCCCTGCCCTCTGTGGTGATTTTGCACCTGGCTGCAACCACAGCAAGCTGCTACAACATTGTAATATGACAGTAAATATCAAAATTACGAAAGCCGAGAATGGCCGTGCTTGCAATTACTTTTTTTTAAATCGTCATCTTGAGATCACAAGCTCATTGTTTCCTCTTATAACTCAATGTGTATAAGAGATTTGTTCAACTTAATGGACAATGTATACATGGAGGAATGACATGAAAAACAATCTGGTCATTGCTTTGAGCTCATTTAATAAATCTCAAGCGTCTCCTGATATATTTTGTCAGCATTGTGTCACATTGCCAGTAAATGAACAGCTTAAATGAACTCTCAGATGTACATTCTGGTAACAACTCTTAAGTTCAGTTATGAATCCTCCCTGACAGTCATGACAGTGATCTTGAAGGCTGAAACGAAGTGTGATCAAATCAACCAGAAACTCATCCTTTCTAGTTTTCTAGAAATAATTTATCTCATGATCTTAAGAAAATGGCATTCAAAAAAAATTATTGCAAGCATGGCTGTTTACAACTTCCATAAAATACACCTTATATTTAAATAATAAATGAAGAATAATTCAGATTTTTTTATCATCATCATCTATAATGACAATAAAGGTGATTTACTTGCAGCTAATGCATGATTGTTGTGGTATTTATTTTTTGTGTTCTTTTTGTATGATTTTACTT